CCGTGGTGGCACAGCCCGACAGCACCTGCGGGGACACGGGGACAGGGATGGTGGCACAGCCGTGGTGGCACAGCCCGACAGCACCTGCGGGGACATGGGGACAGGGATGGTGGCACAGCCCTGCAGGGACAGCCGTGGTGGCACAGCCCGACAGCACCTGCGGGGACACAGGGACAGTCATGGTGGCACAGCCATGGTGGCACAGCCCTGTGGGAACACTGGAGGCACAGTGATGGTGGCACAGCCCCCAGGGACATGTGAGGACAGTCATGGTGGCACATCCCCGCAGGGACACTGGGGGGACAGTGATGATGGCACAGCCCTGCAGGGACAGCCGTGGTGGCACAGCCGAGGTGGCACAGCCACATGGGGACACCGGGGGGACAGTGATGGTGACACAGCCCTGCAGGAACAGCCGCGGTGGCACAGCCCTGTGGGGACACGGAGGGCTCAGCCGGCGTCCCCCACGTAAGGTGGTGGCAGCCAGGAAGGAGCGACAGGAATGTGACACTGCAGGGACACGCAGAATCCCAGGGGCAGAACTCCAGGGGCGCATCCGTCCCTGGCACCACTGAGTGCCACGGGCTGGAGAGCCAGGAGCTGCCCCAGCTGGAGATGGGGCCAAAATCCACATCCTGGGGGATGCTGCCCCCGTGCCCAGGTGAGAGCCCTGCAGAGCTGCCCCAGCCCTGGCACACAGCAGCAGCACCTGGAGCTGCTGGAGAGCCCCGAGGAGGCCCCGGAGCTGCTGCAGGGCTGGAGCCCCTCAGATCCCAGGGATCCAGGCTGGGAGAGCTGGGGGCCTCACCTGGAGAGGAGAAGGATCCAGGGAGAGCTCAGAGCCCTGGCAGGGCCTGAAGGGGCTCCAGGAGAGCTGCAGAGGGACTGGGGACAAGGATGGAGGGACAGGACACAGGGAATGGCTCCCACTGCCAGAGGGCAGCCATGGATGGGAGATTGGGAATGAGGAATTCCTGGCTGGGCTGGGATTGCCAGAGCAGCTGGGGCTGCCCCTGGATCCCTGGCAGTGCCCAAGGCCAGGCTGGACACTGGGGCTGGAGCAGCCTGGGGCAGTGGAGGTGTCCCTGCCAGGGCAGGGATGGCACTGGAGGGGCTCTGGGGTCCCTCAGAGCTCAGCACACCCGGACACGGGGTCACCTCCGTGCACACAGAACACCAAGGAGCATTTGGAAAATCTGGATTTTACACCAGGTGCTCTCCAGATGAGCCCAGCCAGGCTGTGTCCCACCACAGCTTTGGCCAAGGATCTCCCTGTTCCCCATAGGATCTCCCTGTTCCCCATAGGATCTCCCTGTTCCCAACAGGATCTCCCAACAGGATCTCCCTGTTCCCAACAGAATCTCCCTGTTCCGAATAGGATCTTGCTGTCCCTGGGATCTCGCTGTCCCTGGGATCTCCTGTTCCCCATAGGATCTCCCTGTTCCCCATAGGATCTCCCTGTTCCTGGGATCTCCGTGTCCCCGCTCCCAGTCACCCACACTGCCCCCACACCCAAGGACCTCCCTGCTCGCTGTCTCCCAGTCCTCCCAGATCTCTGATCCAGCCTCGGGGTCAGGTTCCAGTGCCTGCCCTGGCTCCCTGGCACCCCAAACCCCCGCGGGTGCTCGCAGGGATCCCAAACTCCTCCAGCCCTGTGCATCACCAGAGCCAGCCCAGCCCCGTGCCCAGGGCACTGCACCCCTCAGGATGAGCCCCGCCGAGCCCACCCCGAGGCTCTGGGTGCCCCTGCACCCCCCCCCACCTCCTGGAGCCACGGCAGCGCCGGGAATGCTGCGGGAGCCACCGGGAATTGCGGCCGGAGCGATCCCGGCAAAGGCTCAGCGCCCTGTGCTTAAGGACTTAGAGGTTCCATGGCTGTAATTAACCCTAATCGTTAATTTATAGGGCACAGGGAGGCCAGGGCATGCTGGAGCTGCTCTGCTCCATCCCCAGCAGGAGCCCGGGATCCCAGGGTGGGATCCCTGGTGGAGCTGCTCCGTGTTCCGGGACATTCCATGCCGGCTCCTGGTCCCGTGGCCCCGTCCCTGCCCATCCCCGCGTGGCTGTCGGGCTCCCAGCTGGGGAAGGGCTCCAGGCATCGGCCAGGGCCAGCAGTGGCACCGGGGCACCGTCCCAGCAGCCAGGTAACACTGCCCCAGCCTGCCAGCAAGCCACCCCCGGGCCCGCCTGTCCCACCAGGAGCTCCAGCAGAGAAATCTGGGCTCAAGCCAGGCTCAGTCCAGCCTGGAAGCAGCACGGGCACACCGGGAGCACAGCCCCGGCTCGTGCTGCCAGGGCACCAGAGGGGACGGCACCGAAATCCCACGGGCACATCCGGAATCCAGAGCTGCCCCTGTGGGGCACAGAGGGTTAAAAATCCTGACAGGAGTGGGAGGAAAATTCCTGCTCTTCATCCCCATGCTGCTGCCAAACTCCTGCTCTCAAACCCCGTAGTCTCACTGTGACTGCAACAGGAAGGTGCAAAAAACCCCAAAAACCTCGAAGCTATGACAGCAACCACAGCAGAGCTGGTGGCACCGCAGAGAGCCAGGAAGCCGCTCCTCCCAGGGGAATTTTGGGGTGGCTGGCCTGGAAGGGGACCACAGAGCACATCCCGGGCTATGGGGCACAGGCACAGCTGCCTCCCAGCCAGCAGGCTCCAAAATCCTCCCCAAAATCCTGCTGCGGAGCCCCGAGGATGGAGTCGGGCAGCAGCAAGCAGCCGAGGGCTGTCCTGAGCACCCCAAAATCTGCGGGTTGGGCAGGAGCCAGGGCAGGGTGGCAGCAGCAGATCCCCCCCCACGGGTGACACACGGCACGGGGATGGTGCCAGACCAGACCGGCGGTGTCCCCAACCCCCGGTGTGCGACCACAGACCCCCAGTGGCCACCCCAAACCTCTGGGATCCATCCCTGGACCCCTGTCGTGTGTCCCCAGACTTCCAGGGTGCCTCCCCGGTGTCCCCAGGCTGTCCCCAGCACGCCACAGGCGCCGGGCTGCAGTGGCACCCCGGGAACAGGTCGGGGGGAAGGGGTCAGCCCAGACCCCCAGATCCACCCGGAGCCGGGCACGGGGATCTGGGGAGCTCGGGGACACGGCAGGGAACGGGCTGCGGCGGGACGGGACCGGGATGGGGACACGGGACGGGACCAGGACACGGCGCCCAGGACTGAACCCGACCTTCGCTCCCCCGGGCCCCGCTGCCGGCACACGTGGGGACCCGGGACGCTTCCCGGGGACCCCGGGGGGCCGCAGCGCCCCATCCCCGCGGGGACCCGCCCGGGGCACGGGGCTCCCGTCCCGCCCCGCGGGGATGCCCGGGAAGGGCAGCGAGCGGAGCACGTGGGGAGCCCCGGCACGGCCCCGCTGCCGCTGCGAGGCCGCCGCTCCGCGACCCCTCGGGGCTCCGGGGCCGGCAGCGGAGCGGGACCACCGGCTCCGGTCCCGGGACCACCGGCTCCGGTCCCGGGACCCAAAGCTGCTCCTGCCCCGTGCCAGCAGCCGGAACGGCGCCGGGACGGCGGGACGGCGCGGTGCCCGGAGCCGGGACGGCGTGGGGGAGGCGGGCTGCGGGGGGATCCCGGGTGCAGCGCGAGGTGCCGGGGCTGCGGGCGGTAACGGACCGGCAACTGCCGCGCCACGGGGCCCGGGAGCACCGGGCGAGCTGCACCGGGCGGGGGGAGCCGGGCACCGGGCAGGCAGCGAGGCGGCGAGCGGAGCGGGGCCGCGGAGCAGCGTGCGGGAGACGGGGCTCCCCGGTCGGCGGCGAGGCGCGGGGCCGGCGCGGGGAGCGGCGGGCGCAGCCCTTACCATCTTGACGATGCCGCGCTGGACGACGGGCGGCGGCGCGGAGGCGGGCGGGCCGGGGTTGGCCGCGGAGGCCATGGCGGGGCCGGGTCGGGTCGGGCCGGGCCGGGACGGGCGGCGGGAGCGCGGCGGGGCCCGGGGCGAGCGCGGAAGGGACCGGGGGGCGGGGCCTGGCCGGGGGGCGGGGCCTTGGCCGGGGTGGGGCGGGGCCTGCGCGCGGCTCCGCCCCCCGGCGCGGCCGGCGGCCAACGGGCGGCCGCTGCCGCCGCGCGCGCCGCCCCGCCCCGCGGCGCCCCGGCCAATGGCGGCGCGCGGCGCGCGAGCGTGGCGCCCCTGGCGGCCCCGCCCGGCCCCGGCGCGCGCGGGAGGGGGGGGCGGGACTTCCGGGGCGCGCGGCGCCAGGGACACGTCGGCAAAGGCCGCCCGCGCGCGCGCACGTGGCCTCGCGCCGCGCCGGGGGCGGGGCCGCCCGGGGACACGCCCCCTGCGTCACAGGGGCGGGGCTTGAGGGGATACGGTTCTTACGTCACATGGGCGGGGCTTGAGGGGACACGCCCACCCCGGCAGCGGCGGGGCCCGGGGCTGGGGGGGCACCGAGAGCACACCGGGAGCGGGGGGCACACCGGGGGTACACCGGAGATGGGGACACACCGGAGATGGGGACACACCGGGGGCATACCGGAGATGGGGACACACCGGGGGCACACCGGAGATGGGGGCACACCGGAGATGGGGACACACCGGAGATGGGGACACACCGGGGGCATACCGGAGATGGGGACACACCGGGGGCATACCGGAGATGGGGACACACCGGAGATGGGGACACACCGGGGGCATACCGGAGACGGGGGCACACCGGAGATGGGGGCACACCGGAGATGGGGGCACACCGG